TCTCGAACGATCGAAATGTCAAACTTTCCCCTCATGAAACGAGGGATGCGAAGGGTGGATAATAGAAGATGACACGGCGAAATCGTACAACGATATCGTTTGCACTATATATTTTTGGACAACAAAATCAAATTTATTTTAATTAAGGGAAATTCGCAATAATAGCTTCCCACCAAGAGAGACAAATAATTATTATAATTTTATCTCTATCGCATCTGAATTATAATAGAACGCAAATATTACTCTAAAAATTTCTTTAAATTATTATTATTACGTTTTATTAAATAATGAGTTACTTAGAAATTTATGAAAATGTGTATACATTTAATGAAAATATATGTCAAATAGTTAAAAAATAAATCTCTCTAATTGGATATATATATATATTAAAATACCCTGATATGAAATTGAAAATACTTCACTTTTAATCTGAAAAAAAAACTTTTTCTATTAAATCTTTTAAATATTAAATTATAAAAACGGATGGACAGAAATTGTTAAATTATTATGATTATTATAGATTTATCATTTTTTATAAATTACCCAATTTACTGTGTTCTATTTCTATTATTTTAAAGTTGTCGATATGCAAATCGTTTCATAATTATGATACAAAATGTCACGATATACTTTGAGAAAATTTACAGCGAAAGAAGATTCTCCCTATAAAGTTAAAAAAACTTTTATACGAATTACTAACAATAACATTTAATGTCGATCGACGTTTGACATTTCCCTGGACGAGAGTGAACGCATTCGCTTACTTTTTACATCTTAGGAACTTACACTGTTACGTATAGGTAGTTTTGTGGGCGAATAAGCGAGCAGAGTGTTCCGAGCCGTTCTCACGCGATGAGAAGCGGAAAGTACTTTGCGACTCTAGCTATATAAACCAGAAAGATTCTCGTGTGAGGAGAAAAGAATATAAAAAAAAAAGAGAGAGAGAGAGAGATCGTCGTAGCGAATGATGTCCGTGCAAGCTTACTAGTGCCGCCGTGCTTTTTCGTTGAATTCCTTTCGTCGCTCGTACCTATCGAACGATTTGTATGAAAGTCATTGTGAGTACATCGCGAGACTCGCCGTAATGATCGATATCTCGCGACGAGCGAGTCTCGATTTTATGAAACCGCCAACGAACAAGTTGTACAAAAATAAAATTAAACTCCTTCGTCAAAAAAAAATATATATCTTCCGCTCTATATAATTTAAAGACTCTAGATATTTAAAGACACAATATGTATTGCGAAAGAATTCTAAATAAGGCAATTCCTCTCGCCTCTTTCTCAATAAACCGAAAAATAAATCAGAGACGAGGAAATAAAATAATACTGCATTAATGAGTAATAAATCTCGATATAATCGTCAATGTATTTAATTATCGTGGCTTGAAAATTCTTCGATTCGCTTGACATTGCGATTCGGCTCGAATGTTTGACGCGATTATCGGGACGAGACGGCGAGTCCGTGAGTAGTGAACAAAAGAAAGAATGTATTTTATGATATTTTATGCATAAAAAAGAAAACGTTCGTAAATCGACATAGCGTTAGTATGAGGTAAACTTAAGTAGAAGTGTATAAATAAAATGAAATGACAATTGGCGCGTGCCGTTTTGCGCACGCGCGTCGCGAAACGAGCGCGATTTTACACATAAGAAGAAGAATCGATTTTCGGTCCATGCGGGAGGAGGTGGATGGGATCGTGGAACGGTGGTTCAGCATGCACGCCCATCGCATCGGCGATTGATTAACGCGATGAAAACGTTTACTTTATCAATTATGGTATAGCCGACAATTAATACTTTAAGGCTACTTTCTATGATTCCTATTCTCTCATGAGTGGTCGATCGAGATTGCGAAACAAACAAAAAAAAATCTCCCCGAATCGCGTGAAATTTTCGCGATTATTTCGCGAGGTACAATTGCATAAATTGATTCGATCGACGACACCTTTGCAAAATCTCCCTGATCGCTGCGAATCACCGTTTCGCGAAAACGACGCCCAATCATTGGTATACTAAGCGCTACTGTAAAATATTGTATATTGTTTCTCGCGTTCTTTATTTTTCAATGTTTTTACTAGAGACACGTTTCTACGGTATTTATGAAGAATTACCGCGTAATGTAACTAACAATGCGATCCGCTGCTCCGTTATACCGTATAGACAAAGGGATATTAGTCGGCCGAGCAAATAATACAGCCGATTACTATTGAAAATTACGAAACAAAAATGATAGAATGAAATAAGGGAGAATTTCACATTGTTCATATTTAAACTTTAAACAAATATGTTTTCGTTATTATTGATAACATATTAACGGTAAAATTACGCTTGAATCATTGAAAAATTGCACTCGAAATTATTTTATCGTTCTCGCAATTAAAAGCTCGAAATTAATTTCGATCAATATTAATTTTAAAAAGTTTTAATTTTCGTGTTCATTATATGATAAAAATTTGATCAAATTTCAATATCTATTAATTTGATAAAAGTCAATGTTTCCTCACTTTAATTTTTTTGCGCTAATATTTTTTCTGATAATGATCTCAATTGCTCCAATTTATATCGCGAGAGAGAGAAAAATTTAAATAATTTAATTAATTTCACAAATCGCCGACATTTATTACCGTCATCGACATGACTCATGACGTTTTCTTACGGTATCGCGGAGACAAGCGGGGATAAATACGTTTGTAAAATTGCAGCGTATCTCCAGCAGCTTTCGCAGTGTGTGGGCTAAAAATGAATGCGGAGCAAAACTAGTCTAGGCGCATTTAAAGAGCGCATGGCTTGGACGCGGAAAAGTATTACGACTGTAATGTCCGTCTATGGCGTAAACCACGTGCTTTTGAAGAGAAACCGGAATATTTCGAGGAGTAGGAAAAAAAATCTTTACAAACATTTAATTGTATGCAGTTGTATTCACGTGAAATGTCGACACGCTAGAAACTCAAATCATCTCTCGCAAAAGGTAAAATACTATTCGTCAAATATTCCTAATTTCAAATCGTTATCTTTGATGTGTCAAAAAAAAAGAAAAACAAAGTAAAAGAGAAGAACAAAAGAAATTATTGGTTGCACGAAAATATTATTGCAATTGCTATGCTAGGAGAGAATTGCGAAAATGTAATATCCGTGAGATATTTCGGATAAGTAAAATATACTTATTAATGTAATTTATTATAATGTAATTCGCATAAAATATCTGTAAAGGTGGATCGTTGAAATTGAAAATGTTCATAAAAGTGCATCGGAAGTTTGGGATATTTTTTACAATCTGGAATGCTCTGGAAAGTGTGCTATTTTCTCAAAAGTTACCGTATATCTCAAGGACGAGCCAAGCGGACAGGAGTTGTGACGCGTAACGTGAAGGGTAATGTTTACGTTCCGCGATAGTCCTTATAGCGAACAGACTACGCACCGTGGACTAATATGGCTAATTCTAGCAGCACGAAGTATTAACATTAATAGCGAAATTATTATAAGGGAAACGTAACGGCGAGTTACTAAATAAAGGTGTAGATCGCCATCGATGTTTCCCGAAATACGATCTCCTTCGATCGTATCTCGGCAAGATCGAGATATGCTCGCAATATGAATGACAAACATAAATAAGAGAAGCGATATTTTCTTTTATTTCAATAATTGGCTACCCTTTGAAGCGTCGCATTTATGATGATCGCCTAATGAATAATAATAGCAATAAAAATATTACGCTCTGTATATGTTTCAAACTATTGATCCTTTTCCCTACATCAAAAACCGAACTTCACATATTTAGATCCTTTAATTATCAATGTTAAATGGATGATGAAATTACAATTACAGATTAATATAAAAAATTAAAATATTTCCGCGATTATAATAGATTGAGAGAAACAGAAATATACAGAAATATTTCCATTTACATAAATTTATCTAAAAATAATGTAACTGATATACATTATATCAATGATATATGGATATGTACTGGAAATATTTATCCTTAAATATTTGCACAAAATATTGCAAATATAATATTTTTCGAATATTTTTCATGAGTTTCACAGTTTCAAAAAAATTTGCACAATAAGTTTTCATAATTATTTATCGTAAATTGTTCTTCACGAGGCTTGTTGTACAACGAAAATAAAACCTTCAAAGCACGTGCCAATTATTTAAATAAGAAGAAATTAAATTTTCATTCATTTAGATTTGTCATCAGATCAAGCACCGAGTATTGGGCATCGCGGACAAACAATAGCGTGTATAAGGCACAAGATGATTTTTATTACAGATTTTCGTTTGTACTCGAGCGAGGCAGATTATGATTGAATACGTTACGTTAATCATTCAGATCTATGTGTTTGTAAAAAACGATTTGCTTAAATTAAAAAAGCATGACGCCGAATTACGTTTAATTTTGTGCGCGGTTCTGTTTAGGATGCTTTAGACTCCAGGATGGAGTGTATGCGAGGAATCATTAGGAAATGATTGAGATTAGTATCGAGATTCCATGTGAGAAAAGCTTTAAGCTGGAAGATGCTAACGCTAGACAAATTACCATGAAACGTCGAAAATACTTTATTCTAGTTGTATTTGTCATGCTTTGCCAAGTAACCAAATGTAACTCTTGTGTTAAATGTAATGATCAATTATGTTTTAATAAAATCTGCCAAGATTCTTGTCATTGTTCCATGTACTTCCTTACTCTCTTCTTATCATTTTTATACATTTTCCTTTTTTTATACAAAAATATAGTTTTAAAATTGTAGAAATTGTAATAATAAATTTTAATGAACAATAATTATTTAAATAAGCTTAGTATAATAACAGAAAAATTTACCAGATATAGATACCAAATATAGATTATTCGTTAGACTCTCTTAATATTTAATCAACATTATCGTCAATTATAAATTTGATATTTATTTAAACATAATGTTACTTTTTCTTCATCTAATACTCTAAATAATGTCTAAAAAATATTTTATAGAAAATATTTATGAAAAATATACTGCATTGACGTGTTAGTTAAAATACTACAAATATTATAGAAGTATCACTGTTACTGTATTCTTATATAATTCTGCTGTTACTTTGTGATTTAATCACTAATAATCAAATCTCATATTGAATAGCAATTAATAACAACAGTCTTTAATAAATGATAATTAATATGACATAAAATGGAATTTGTATTTACAGTTGGTGCATATAAAAAATAAACACGTAGGCTCATGTATTTTTGTAACTAACTACAGTATCCATTTTATGTATAGAAGTTGAAAATGATCTAAGTTGTACCTCTTGACTGTTTGCGATGAAAACTGGCTGAGTCTCATCCCACTGATTAGGGATATCACAGTCAGGTACCGTATATGTAAGTATATCAAAGGAGCACAAGCAATCCAAGAGTGGCAGAAAACTTACCGTCCCTGCAAAAATATTTCATATTAAAAAGTACATCGTCAATGGAAAGATCTATATTCTGTTCAAAACCCTTATCCGCAATCAAACATTACCTGTGATTTGACGTATCACTTCGCGTATTTCCTTCTGTATAGTTTTCATATCCTTCGTCTCTACTTCGGACAGATCAGCCTTGACATTACTATTGATTCCGTTAGTCTTTTGATCCTCATAATCGACTTTGAAGTCCCATTTTTCTAGAACTTCCTTTGTATTGACATTCGTTATAACAAGCGTAATCTTGTGCACTTTGCGCTGAATGAGCCACTCTTGAACTTGGCCAAGAACAGTATTTAAGAAAGATGTGATCTTATCGTCCGTGGAAGTGAAGATGTATAGGCCAAAGTGTTCCGAGGGTTGGAATGTTTCTGGCGGATATATTCCTCTTTGATAGAGTATACTATTGACTCCATATACTACAACAAAATAACAAAAGAGGTTATAGCTATCTCATGTGTTTTGATTGACCGATAAGATTATACTTACACAGATATTGTGTAACCAATTCAGCGGAACCTTTCAAAGTAATACACTTGGCTTTTTGCTGCGTTTCCGTCATAATTCTGGAAAATCGAATCACACTTTTTCGTCGAGAGATCAGAGATGCCGGTTCACGAATTTCGAAAAAAACGTCCGCAATTCAACGGAATTCAACTCGACCAATCAGGCGTCAACGCGCCAAAACGATTAGTTGAGAGAACCAATAAAAGTTCAGTGCGATGACAAGTAACGTGGTAGCCAATCACCTTCTATTAAGGTGCTTTTCATGCTTGATTTCAACAGAGAAAAGAGTGAGAGGTCATAACCCGCTTTTAGATGATCTCTGAAAGTGATATGCCCTCTATGAACATTAAAAACGTGGACATGAACTACAAAGCCAATGTCCACGAATGTTCTCAGAGGGTAACATATATGTTACCCTCTTTTTAATATCTCCAAAGAGTGTATCATTTTTAGAAATCAAAACGAGTCATGATACCTCTCAGTTTTCTCTCTGATGATATAAATAATATAAATGATATAAATAAAAATATAAATACGCGGGATCGCTTATCGACAATTTAATTAGTTTTATTTGTTTACGTTATGTTATCTCGGGTCTATCTATAGTTATTTATTTTATTCATTCAATAATTTATTTCATTTACTTATTTATTTTTCTTACGTGATGGACACTTTTTTTAATAATTATTAGCGGTTAACGAAATTTTATTTTTGAGTTTGAAGATTTAATATTATGAATATAAACCCATACTTAAAGGGTTAAAAGAAATGACTCACACATATGATCACGGCATATGATACATTATATAAATAATTTATGTAAATAATTTATGTAAATTACTTACCATATATCTCATCTCCGTCCGTCATTAAAATTTTTTTTTTCTTCTGCTTTATGTTGTTTCTCGTGGCATTTGCACTCACTCGTGCAAATATTCGCGATTGCATTTAAAAAAGAAAATGGACAATATATGAAGCGTATTGGATCACTACTTCACTTCAATTTACATAAATTATTATATACATACATACATATATATATAATGCGCTTAATCGTTTTATTTCTTTAAAATTTAAATATAATTTAAATCAAAGATGCGCAATGAAACAATCGAATTGTAGATCCAAATAATTAACATTATGAAAGGCTCCTAATTTAAACATTAATCGTTTAATAAATAAAATCGTTAATTATCTTATAAATTAAAATAATTTAATATTTTGCAAATACATACATATAATAATATATAAAATATTTTGGCAACGAATTATCATTAACATTCTGGCAGTATAAACAGTAACGAGCTATTGTTTATTGTAGTACAACCTTTGTTATTATGGCGACACTCGAACAGCGAAATAGTAATGCAAAACATTTCGTATAATTGTTAGATTCTTTTTCTAAACGCGATCACAACTAATATCTAAACACAATTAGCTATGACTATTAATTAATAATTAATTAATTTTTGATAAACGACACAAAATTGTATCACGATGATAAATCTTTATGGAAGAGTAATCATTTATTATTACAAGTAAAGATTAAAATAAAAAAAATAGAAACAACTTTTTTATAGTTTTTCGATTATAGATTCTTATGAATAATAATTATTTATTTAATACTTACGATTAAACAACTAAACTAAATTAAATTTTTCTAAAATGTGAACATAAATTAATTATTAATGAAACGACTGTTATCTCACAACTTTATTCATTTAATCTTTTGATTCTTATGATTCGTATATTATACAGTGTATAATACGCGTATTATTAGCATACAGTAATACGTATTGCTGTAACGAATGATTTTGGTATCGTGTCAAAGGTCATGTTGCTCTCTTATGATATAATAAAGTATATAAGTTTCGTATGATTATTTTGCGATCGAGAGTCTCGTGCAAAGTGCGCTACGATTAACCATAATTAAATCGTATTTTCGTGAGTGAGTGAATGTCAGGAAATAACGAAAGATACGTAAGAGAGGAAAAGCATCAGATGTAATGTATGAAATAAAACGAAGTAACACGAAGTAAAACAATCGAATTATGTATGCAAATAATTAGCATAAAAGGCTAATAAATTGTTTAATAAATAATTAATTTTAATCAATAAATTAAAATACTTCTATAATTTAATAATCGCGTTAATGTATATTTTATAATATATAAAATATTTCGGCAGCAAATTTTCGATAACACGGCGTTCGATTTTAGCAATATAAAATATAAATAGTAGCGTGCTATGTTACGGCTTTGTTATTATTCGCACGGTGACTCTCGAGTAATAAAGTAGTGGTGAGAAACACTTTGTATATAGTAATTATTTTACTAAACACGATTACGATTAGTATCGAAATATAATTTGTTATAAATATTAATAATTAAAAATTAACTTTTGATAAACGACATAAAACTGTATCGCAACGATAAATTTTAATCGAATCGTAATCATTCATTACCGCGATTAAAAATTGAAACAGGGGATATGTAAAAGGGAATAAGAGAATTAAACATATTATGATCTTTTGATCAACGATGCTTATTATAATATTTCTATAACAATATTAGAATTAAATATATTTCGATCAATGCTTTAAATTTTCTCAATCCTGGTTAATTAAACAATATACAATTTAATCGAGAATCGATTTAATGTGATAGGAATCCAACATATAAAATAATCACATCGATGTTTGCAATCTTTACGGACAATAATTATTATTTTAATACTTAAAGTCACAAATATATTTAATCCGTGTTACTTTATATTATTCTACTTGACAATCTAAATATAATTGGGGAGGATATAATACAATTGTGAGAGAACACGAAGTAAAACAATCGAATTATAGATGCAAATAATTAGCATAACGAAAGACTTCAAGATAAATGGTTTAATAAATAATCAATTAATCTTAATCAATAAATTAAAATACTTCTATAATTTAATATTTCGCGCACAAATATTTTATATTACAGAAAATATTTCAGCAACGAAAGACTTATCAATAACACCGTGTTCGACTTTGATAAACAGTATCGCGCTATTGTTAATACGTGACACGGCTTTATTATCATTCGCACAGTAACCTTGAGTAGTGACGATAGAGATGTTTCACATATTATCGAATTTCTTCTTCACATAACTTTGACGATATAAACAGTACTGTGAGTTGTAATGTTTCTGACTTACGATCATTCGGTCAATGACTCTCGAGCAGTGAGGTAGTGATGTGAGACGTTCCATTATATTATCAAATTCTTTCTCTAATTACTACTAATCGCAAGTGCAATGAGGAACTTTTCATAAATGAGTGTAAGTGCAACGTGGAATTCAAATGACTGCAACCAAAATTGGAGTGCCACGAGAACAAAGTAAAACAAAAGAAAAAACGAAAATCTTGGAAATGGATGGATCAATAAGATGTAAATAATTAATGTTTTTATAAGTTATAAAATTTATATAGTATAATACAAAATTAATGATATATTATATTATATATAAAATTATATATAATATAACCCTCCCATGGGGTACACCTTGTCGCGGTGGGAGGGCTTAGTACTTGGATGGTGCCTTGAGGTTTATTTTAAATTTTTCAATTTATGTTAAATCTTAAGGTGCCTGAATAGGAAGCTAAGTACCCTTTCGCGTTGTAGTATTTTCGCGTCGTCGCGTTTTCGCGGAACTTTTGGACTTTATTTTTATAAAATTTTTAATCGCATCGAAATAGTGCGGGAGTGCCGTTCAGTATCGCGCGTAAAATAACGAAAATAGCGATATAAAAATATCGCTCGCGAGTGCGGGAGTGTCGTTAAAAGTATCGCGCGCCAACAACATGAGAAAAGGAGGAGGCCTTGTGGAGGCTTCGGGCTCCCGTAGAGCAACCTTCTGGTAAGCAATTTATTTATTTGTAATTACATATTAAATATTAAATATATTTATTATAATTTAAATTAATTTAAATTAAACAATTAATCGCAATAATTAATTTGATGTTTTTATTTATATTTTTTTATATTTAATTAAGGCAGAATTAAAGAAAAAGATTTTTAAATTAAAACTATAATTTTGTAAAGGTGTAAGCTTTTATAAAGTTATAAGAGAATTATTAGTAATGTTTTTTAAAATTTATAGAATTATAACATAAATTATCTTAATATCGTTAGTCAATTAATCAAAGGATCGTTGTAAATAATATAATCGAAATTAGCCAGAAATTTTTTGTTTATTGATTACGACGTTTCGATCATATGGTTGTGGTCCTTTTCAAGTAAATAAGATCAAATGAGTTTGTTGACGAAGTCTCACACCGACACATCGTTTTTATCTCTTGATTTTAAATTTATTAAGACGTAATGATCGTGCAAACGTGACTTGTGCATTTTACAACACTATGATTTATATCTGTCACTTGATCTTATTTATAGATCTTATTTATATCTATTTTGATAGATAGATAGATAATTTATTAATCTAATATATTAATTGAAAATTCAGTAATTCAACATTAAGGAAAAAATTAAAATTTAATAACGTAAAATTTTAATAAGAAGATCTTAAGAGAATTAATAATAAATGGCCAGCAATTATATTTACTGTTAAATATATATTTAATTGGAATATGTGCCAATTTTATTGGCAGCGCCAAGCTTTTTAATTAAAATTTTTTTACTTTCTTGTTTTATATTAATTTTCAGTTTCCAATTTTTAAATAAATTTTTAATTTTTTAATATTATTATTTTTGAAAATTAAAGCAACTATTTTGTATAACAATGTTTTCAAATAAAATATTTCTATTTAACTTGTACAAGTTTTCTTCCTTGTACTTCTATTTATCTTGTACAAATTTTTATTCTTAGTTGGCGCAATTTTTTTATATCACTATTTTTGTAGACAATATGACAGTTGGATACAATTAGTGCATGAACTTGGTGCCCTTTTTTTACCTTTATTAGTGACTTGACATTTAATATTTCGAAGTTATATGTTCTTTTTCTAAAATATTCTTTTTCACAATGTTTGTACAGTTGCTAAAATTGTGATTCAAATATTTTCATATAATTGAGATATAACGCCAAAAGACAAATAGGATCATTACTAATAATACGATTTTGGTTAATTTATCTATCCAGTACAATCTGTAATACATTAATAATCGACTTATTTTTCCTGCGCAACGTATATCTTGCAAGAGTGAAAATGTAATTAAGAATAATTTGAATAGTTTGAATATTTTGAAAATTGGAAGACTTACCTCGATAAACGTTTTCGGGAGTTATTTAACGTATCTGGATTGTCTTGCAAAATATATTTTCTAATTCCTAACATATAGTGATGTAAATACGCATCCCAATCTAAATTTCTGATATCTACACTGAAATCGTTACAATTCCCCGACGCTCTCACAAATTTTATTAGTTTCATCATGTTATCAGCGTAGAATTTCCATTCCTTCGTCCTGAAGAATTCTGTGCTTTTAGCACCGCGGTCGAAACGTTTAGCAATTTTCATCATTCTGAAAAAAGTATGAAAGAAGAAAAAATCCTTTATTCGAAATTTATTATTATAAATATAATTTTTTTTCGCGCGTATAGTTAAAACAAGAGCACTTACATAGGTTTGCAACCTTGGATCCTTAATATAAGATCTAAGATAAATGCAGGTAAGAAGTGCAACATAACTACTATGATAGTGTGAATGAATCTATTTGTCCTAAGCGTACAGTTTGGATACCACATCACGTATTTCGATGGGAATTTTATAGCGTACTTGTGGGTAAGATATCTAAATTCACTCGATCTGCAAGAAATCACATATTTTTTTAAGTTTCTCACTATGTTCACAAAATCATATTTTTCCTTATTGCTTCATTATGTCGCTTCCAGTTTCTCAAATACTTACGTGATCGGATGCAGTGAACTGCTAGTGCAATTATAAATCTTTACGGTATCGGAACGTTGCACAGCGTTATGCCAAGACGCGCATATTAACGTATTGACAACAAAGTCGAGAGGTATAATGTCTACTACTAAATTTGCATTACCTATGAGGCTCCTAACAGTACCTCTACTTGTCTCCGTCATTATACCTATGAAATAGAATGACAGAACATAACATGTGTATAGAATTGATATTAATATAGAAAAAAATTAATTTATTGTAAATGCGGTTTATTTTGTATACTTTAAACTTTAAATATTTTTATTTTTTATTATATAAAAACTCATATTTAATAAAATTCTTCGAGTTAATGTCACGGACATGTTAGAGGGATTAATTATATATTTCGTACTTCTCTTTCCTCTTTTATATCTCTATATAATTTTCTATATAAAGAAATTTGGTTCTAAAAATTACATAATCAAATATAAATATAATAAAATATGTCTACATATTATTTAAAGAAATGGGAAAAAATTGCTTTTATATTTACAATCTTGTATAAATTTATATTAAAATTATTCTTTCATAATTAATTCTCAATTATTCTTATTATTCCTTTTTATATGCATATTTTATGTATATTTATATTTGATTATACGTATATGAACTTTCTTCGAGTAGTGTTGCCACCAAAATTTCAATCAATTTTCAATCAAATTTTTAATATAGAATATACCTGTAACACCGTTAACATTATCTATCCATCCTGGAAACGGTTCTTGATATGCAGCGCAAATTATACTCGGTCGTACGATCGCGATTGGTAAGCCGATCCCCTTGGACAGTACAATCTGCTCTGCCAAACCTTTGGTCAACGTATAAATATTTGGATGATTACCGATCAGTGTCTTCTCTATTATTTTCATCGCCTCATCATCCAAATTTTCGCACATATCAATTACTGTGTACGGCTTTATCTTTGTGCTGTAACATTAACAATATGTATCATTATAAGAATATCTTTCTAATGTGCTTATTAAATACATATTTATTATCGCGCGTCGAAAAACGAATTAAATTTTGTAGAATCTAATTCATATCGTGTATAAAAAATAAACAAAATATAATAACAAAAATATATATAAAAATATACAAAATATATATATATATATATTTATATAAATATATATAAACAAATAGCTCAATAAATATTGTGTGTTCTAATAATATAATTTTTTGGAAGTAAATAATTTTATCGAAAGGAAATAGGCTCGTTATATATTAAATAACATGATAAGAAAACTAGCATCTACGAGCACAGCGGATGGTAATGCCTGAAAAATTCTTTTTAATTGTACGCGAAATTTTAAACGAAAACACGGCATATGCATATATTTTACTTGGTGCATTTAACCAAGATATAGATTCTCATTTTTGAGAAATTCTATAAAACCCTCTTTACCATCGGGAAGATTCCCGATTCAGCGATTTCGCCCCGATATTTTTCTCGTCTACGTCTCTTCAGGCGGGTAAAGAGGGTTTTATAGAATTTCTCAAAAATGAGAATCTATATCTTGGTTAAATGCACCAAGTAAAATATATGCATATGCCGTGTTTTCGTTTAAAATTTCGCGTACAATTAAAAAGAATTTTTCAGGCATTACCATCCGCTGTGCTCGTAGATGCTAGTTTTCTTATCATGTTATTAAATAATTTTATTAAAATATATTTTATAAAAAATTTTTATTTGTAAAATGTTTGTACCTTATTTTAGTATAATTGAAAACTTACGTATATATCGATTCCTTAATTTCTCGTCGATCGGCGTTACTGTAAGCCGTGCTAACGTAAATAACGCTAATAAGGTTCGTCATGTGTCTGCACAAATCTAGCATACGATCTGTGGCCCTTGTGTTTATATTAACGGCTATTTTCAATGGCTCATTAAAACGTACGGTGGCCGCAATATGAAAAACAATGTTAACTCGCTGTATTAACATTTCCTTGTCTTTAAGCTGAAGTCCCAACTCCGGCATGCCCAAATCGCCCTTCACAGGAAATATCTTATTTAAGACGCTAGGACATTCCGTTCGTATTCTATCGAAAATCTGCAACAGAAAAAAATCGTTAGAAAAAATGTGCATTTTTTAACTTATAAATATAAAGTTTGCAACAATAAAAAATCTACTAATAGACGCACTGTCTGAGAGTTTAATTTTTTTAGAATTTTAAAATTTTTATATGTGTTTTTTTTCTATGACATACATTTAAATGGTAGTTTAATTCTATTAACTTGCACTTTCAATGTATCCTTTATTACTATATTTATTACTATATTTATTATACCTCGATGTAATTTTTCAATTCTTAGATTCAATTATGGAAATCAAATCAGCGACATAGCGCAAAATCATTGGATTCGATAAAAAAAGAAAACATTTCATTTAGCTTAATAAAACTGCGACACTTATATATAGCATTTTACATAAATCACCAATAAAATTGCTAGAATTAAGTTTACTTAAAATGGAGATATATCTTCTCGAATAATCTTGCTATGTGATAAGTATATATTTATACAAACAGGATTTTCCAATAATTTCCTGAAGCGTTCTTCGATAGACTGATTTCTTTTTGGACGAATTAGAACGAAAATTGTGGCCACACAATGACACGAGCGCAACAACTTTTCTAGAAGGGCTTTCCCTAAGAAACCAGTAGCACCGATTATAAAAATCTCCGTTTCAGCGAAGAATGTGTCGATCGAATGAGTCTCATTGTGTGCGTGCCCCGAATTGGTTTGTATATCCATTATTTCCATTTTGACAGGTGTTTCAAATTTTACGCAGTATCTATAAAAAAAACATATTTTAACATTAAGAAATAAATCATATAATCGATAGCGCACAAACATGAAGTCTTACATGTACAGAGATTTAACCGTTTTCTTAATAGAAGATACAAATCAAATATTCAAAAATCAGTGGGCAGAAAACCAAAGCGCAAAGACAACAATGGCTGCGTTCAGCAGGAAAAGCTGCTTTGCAACTGTTGCAAAATTCGTGAATCTGATTGATGTATACTCTTAGATTCAGCCAAAATTAAGAGCATATATCAATCAGGCTCATGAATTTTACGACAGTTATAAAGCAGCTTTTTCTGCTGAACACAGCCAATAACGCAAAAACACAAAAAATTGAAGACAACAAAAAATTTTACAATAAAGAATTATATTTAAAGATGGACAAACGTTTAGATCCGATTCTGAATAATTTTCAATGTTTTGCAAATTACAAAAAAAGAACGTAAACATAAAGCAAGATCAAATCGAGAAAGAACAGATGGTCATTTAAATGTATTACAGAAAAAAGAGGGGGGAAAAATCGCACAATCGCAGAAACAATGGTGACATTATGAGATGTACGCATAATTATAATTTTCCAAATAAAAATCTAATATAAATCTCGCAAAAACGATGAATGAAGATCGCTCACCTATGATATTGAAGCGTAGAGAGCGTGGTTGCAAAAAAAGGGCTGGTAACAGGCAATCACGTGAGGGAAGCGTGTACAGATGAACCTCTTGCGTGATGGAGGATGCCTAACAAAGGCCCAGATATGTAGCTCCAAATATTAAATGATAAAAAACAAATGACCAGAAGAATATAAATAATAAAAAATGTTCTATAAAAATAAAAACAAAGGCAAAGCAACACGCACCGCAAAAAACGGGGTTACACAGAATACCAAGTAAGAGAAAAAATAAATTAATAAAAGTCATAAAATAAAAGAAGAATAAATTAGCGCAAATTAAAAAATAAAGTATAATTACCTAAAGATAAAAAATGATATATAGGAAAGTCGAAAGAATGCAAAGATACAGGGACTCGGAAAGAACTGACTCCGAGGACATATCTGTGACAACTGAGGTTAACGTGACAATAAGGAGGGATACAAGAATCGAAAGCGAAGCAACTCAAGGCAGTAACAGGAAGATGGTAACACAGGAAAAAAAATTTGAAAGAGACAGGATTCTAAGGCTGGGAAAATTTATTGATAATTAGAAAATAGGATTTGTCAAAGAGATTTGTATCAATCTGAACATTAATGCCATTGTTTTGACACGCAACATGCATCATTTCAGAAAATAATCTTCTTCTGTAGGAAGGTTCTTCATCCAAAATTAAGATATTATTCCAATCAAACTTATGACCAGAAAGTCTGGGAAGAAAGTCTGAGAAGAAATCACCGATAATGAGTCTGAGCTGAGAGTCTGTATTGATATTGGCCTTGTGTTCTTTGATCATCGTAATTAATTGTCTGCTGGTTTGACCTACATATGACGCTAAACAGTCATTTCATTTAATTTTGTAAACTATGTTAAAATGACTAAATTTGGGTAAAGGATCTTCATGTAATTTAATGAAATTATTTAATTTATTACGCACAGCAAAGGCCGCTGATTTTTTTAAACTATTGATAACAGAAAGGAATTTATCAGAAATGACTGATATGTAAGGAATGATAAAAAAGAAACGTGGAGGAAAAGGGGGGAAGAGGGGAGGGAGGAATTAGGAGGACAACTGTCAGGAAAAAGTTTTTAGAAATGAGCGTTCGTAATCTGCAGATGATAGAATTGAAAATAAAATTCAGGAGATAACCGTTGGACAGAAGAATGTTAATAACTAACAGAAAATATTTTTCATAGTGTTGAGGATGTGATAGATAAAACACTCTGTCAGTCAAGCCAATGATAACTCTTTTTTTATGTGAGATCAGATGTTGGGAGAAAAAATTGAGAAACTTCTCTGAAAACGTACGTTTACGTTTATGGTACCAGTCAAATTCGATAAAATTATTGTTAATGATGATAGAAACATAAAAAAAAATAAGAGTATTCTCATCCGCAATTTCAAGTAAACTATAATCGTTTGTGAAATGAATTAAACACATGCAGAATTTTTTGACAAAAAGCGGAAGGAGCTGCTAAAACTATGTCATCCACATATCTAAAATAGAAAGGGAAATGTAAATCAAGAATGGAGATCGCTTTCTCTCCTCAAGATCCTGCATTACAATATCAGCTAATATTGGAAACAGAGGGGAGCCCATGGGGATACTGAAAATTTGTTTATAAATGATGTCATTAAATTTAAAATATGAAGAATTTAATACGAGATTAATCGCGAATAGAAATTCCCCGTAAGGAATGTTAATTTTTTTGTTAAGGAATTGCTAACGTTTTGAAATATCTCGTATAACTAAATCGGTCGGAACGTTGGTAAATAATGAGACCACGTCCAATGATAATAGTTTATCGTTTTTGTGAGATTTCTATCTATGCTATTTATAGAATTTTATTTGCAAAATTATGCGTGCGTCTCATAATGTCACCATCTTTATGCGATTGTGCGTTTTTTCCCCCTTCTTTTTTCTGTAATACATTGAAATGACCATCTGTTCTTTCTTGATTTGACCTTGCTTTATGTTTGCGTTCTTTTTTTGTAATTTGTGAGACATTAAAAATGATTCAGAATCGGATCGAAACGTTTGTCCTTCTTTGAACATAATTCTCGATTATTTACGTTTTATATAAAATTTATTAAATTCTATTATTGCATATCTATTATTAATAATAAATGTTGCGTAATTAATCTTTATTACCGCGCGTCAAAAAACGAATTTAATTCTGTAGAATCTATTTCATATCGTGTATAAAAAAATAAACAAAATATAATAACAAAAATAATATACAAAAATATACAAAATATATGTATAAAAACAAATAGCTCAGTAAATATTGTGTGTTTAAAACTCTGACATGCTTTTGTTTTTAACTTATCTTTTTCCGAAAGTAATTTTAATTGAAAGTAATTTTAATGAGCTTTTATAGCAAATATCAAATATTTTAATCGAAAGTAATTTTAATGAGCTTTTATAACAAATATCAAACATGACACCATTTAAATATATGCAAGAAAAAACGAGGCTTTTAGAAATAATAATTATTCATAAAAAAAAGAAAGATCATTGACGCCTGGATGTAGTAAATGGCGCGTAATAATTAAAATTTTTTAAACGTACATACAATTACTATTTTAATGATATTTAGAATTAAATGTATTTCATTCGCATTGCTTTATCATTCTAGTTGACAATCTAAATATAATTTGGTATTTAGATTGTCAACTAAAATGATAAAGCAATATGAATGAAATATATTTGATTTTAATCATCTATCATTAAAATAGTAATTCTTGTATTATTTATAATAGTTATTATATTATACTATTATATAATTAATTATTTTTTAATTATTTCTGTTTGAATTAATTTTTTATTTTAATTTTAATATTTATAGTATTTAATATTTAGAAATAAACTAGAATACTTTTTATGTTATACTTTATTTTAAAATCGTGAATGTTGTAATAACTCAGTGAATCGTTGTGCTAAAAACCATCATATGTGATAGCGATGATGGACGATATGTATAATTAATATGTAATGTTAGGTAATATTAATAATAGAAAAAGAGAAAAAAGAAAGAGAGAGAGAAACCACACAAGACTTATTTAGATTAGAAATTTATTTAATATACATAAGCATTTTGCGTTACAACAAATGTGCACATAGCATAGAACGCAACCAAAAATTGTGCGCATTATGTGTTATTCACTGAAAACATTCGTGAAATTAACTTCATAGTTCGTGTTTCTGTCCACAGAGAGCGCGTCGCTTTCAGACATCATCCCTAAAGCCGGATCTACATTTGTCGTATCGTAAACGTCGCAAACGTCGCAAGTCATAAGTCGTAGGCAAATTGACCAATCATAATTGATTATTTTTGAAATAATCGACTATGGTTGGTCAATTTGCCTACGACTTACGACTTGCGACGTTACGATGCAACCAATGTAGATCCGGCTTAAAAGCGAGCCACGGAGTCTTTCATTGGCCGCATTCAGCGGACTCAACATTAGTCGCGATCTACAATAGGGTAATTTCCGATTCACGCATGATGCGCATGAAGTGACAGAAAATGTAGCTTACACGCACTCGCAAATCAAGGCTATAGCACACACTTTCCATAAGACATAACAGTAAGGTTTCGACCAATCGCGTTGCTCAATTTGGCCGTCCGTAACCAACATAACGTAACGTAATGCGATACGGAACACCTTGTGCGGAGGCCCTTATACATTTTCTGTCACTTCATACGCATCATGTGAATCAGAGGCCGGTATTCATAGTCCGATCTTATATTTGAGATCGTCTTAAGTTCGAGCTTGAAATGATACGCAGCTATTTGATTGGTTGAAAGAGGTTTTAAGTCAACCTCGGACCAGACTTAAGACGATCTTAAATATAAGATCGGACTATGAATACCAGCCAGAAAGTATCCATAGATAATTTAAGTTCTAAGCCTTAAGAAATTGACCAATCACGGGCAAGTATTCTCTTCATACTTGACTGTGATTGGTCAATCTCTTAAGGCTTAAATTACCTATTGCAGATCTGGCCTTTACTAGATTTTGTGATGTAACTCGGCGCTAATTGGCCGGATCTGAAAGTAGAAACTAATCATGGTCAATTACATCGATATATAGAATGGACTGCTGAAAAAAGGGGAAGGGGAGCCGCACGAATAGAGTGAGTGGTAGATAATATGAGTTCACGTTCCGTCTCTTTCTATAAAGCCTGATTGGTTGGTTCTATATGTCGATGTTTTTTACTAATCAAGCAGGCTTTATAGAAAGAGACGAAACTCATATTAAGGCTCTATAAATATGAGTATTCTCGTCCGCTATTTTTCTTCTAAAAATAACTAGCATGAAAGGTAAGGTATGTTTCGTTATACGTCAAACGTCAATAACCTTTAGTCCCGATCTACAATAGGTAATTTAAGCTCTAAGCCTTAAGAAATTGACCAATTACAGTCGAGTATTCTCTTCATACTTGACTGTGATTGGTCAATCTCCTAAGGCTTAAAGCTTAAATTGCCTATTGTAGACCCGGCCTTACAATCTCTCTCTCTTTGGGAGCTTTCCAATAACGATACAGAGCAACACAGAATATCATTCTATCTTTGTTGTTTACTGATATTGAAAGAAGATAGAATGATACCTGTGTCGTTGCTGGAAAGCTCCCTTTATCTTTCATGCTTTCAATTAGAAGAAAAATGGCGGACGAGAATACCTACTTTTCTAGAGTACGTTCCAAAACGTACTGTCCCAGGAAAATTTTACTCGATAGCCGTTTCGAAACTCTTTTAAACGTTTCCGATTGGTTAGAATCAGCCATCGAGTAAAATTTTCCTCGGTTACTTGCGTTTTGGAACGTACCCCTAGTGCTCTACTGAATGCGGTCATTCTTCTCTCTATCTATTACATGAATCGTGGTTAAACGACGGCAGCGCCACGAATACAAAAAGCCGGCACAAGTTGAGGAACGGTCTGAAAAAGCAACGAGCGTTCGAGAATCCGGTTGTAATTGAGGACTTTTCTTCGGCATTATGGGCGACATGGACGAAACATTCGTATCCGGACTCGTATACGATTACTTGAAGAAAAAGGACGCTTCGTTGGCGAAAGTTTTTCAGAAGAAGACAAATGCGGTAAGAACTGAGAATCCTCGACGACGATGTGCGTCATCGTCGCCGATTACCACGCGGTTCTTCATTGCCGCCATTCGTTGCACCACGTGGGCACACAGCCCGCCGAACGTGCTTTTTCCTCCCTTCGATTATTTCATCGTCCGCTATATCCTACGCTGTTGTCGATTTAACTGCTATAATCTCGAAAATATTCCGCGCGATTAATGATCGCAATTTTGATATCGGTAACCTTGCGGACGCGTTGAAATTGTAGTCAAGTTTTCCTAAAATCTTTTCTTTTTCTTATTCCAAACTTTAATTACTTTTGTTGTAATATCTTATATAAATAAAATCTATAGATTGAAAATTTTATTACTTGCATCATAAACTTGGAATGAAACAGGGAAAGATCTTTTGTTCACTTTTTTAATCTAACATAATTGCATATAAGAATGTAATATGAGAGCAGTCTAATAAGAAGATAAATTAATATGATATCAGCTTATTAAGAATCAAGATATTTAGTTGTAACAACATAAAAAGTAAATTATTTTATTGATTTTTAGCCTGGTCTATCGAGAGGATGTCCAACAATATTTGAAGTATTTAGGCATTTTCAAAAGAATTCCCCTAAGAAAGTCACTATAATTGGACCAAATAAGAAGAGTAGTACAGATTCAAGCTCAGAAAGCGAAGAAGAAACACCGAAAAATGTTGCACGAGTCAATGGCAAAGAATCAATAATTAAAACAGTATCGCTTAAAAAAGCAACAGCATCTTCTTCAGAAGACACTTCCAGTAAAGATGAAACGCCAGCTAAAAAAATATTAGACAAAGCAAAAGCAAAAATATCTTTTGTACAAGAAGAAGGAAGCTCGGATGAAAGTTCCGATGAGGAAGAAACATCGATAACGCAAGCAAAAACAAACAAAAAGCAATCTACCTCTTTTGTAAAAGCAGATTCAAAAGAGATTCAACATGACAAAAATAGGCAATCTAAAGGTAAACCAGTACAGCCATCAACACCTGCTCTTAAAAAACAAAGTGTCAAGAAACAAGAATCCTCTGATTCATCTAGTGATTCAGCGGAAGATGAAAAATCAACTGTTAAACAAACAGCCAAGGTGCCAACAGCGCAACTGCAAAAACAGAAACCGACATCGGTGTCGGTTACAAAACCAGAATCGTCATCGTCGAGTGAGGACAGCGAAGAGAAACCTGCGCCGAAAAAAACAGCTCTCAGTAAACTAGCGAAGCCAGCACTTGCTAAACAAGAATCTTCAAGTGATGATAGTAGCAGCGAAGAAGAACAGCCTGTTAAGAAACCAACATCAATTGCTGCTAAAAAGAAAGAATCTTCATCGAGCGAAGAGAGCAGCGAGGATGAAACTCAATCCACACCAAAAGCAGCTATTCCTCCAAAAGCGCAGCTGCAAAAGTCGGTTCTCACTCCTAATAAAACATCCACACCAAAAGCAGGTGTAACTCCAAAAACGCAGCCACAGAATGAACCGATAATGCACATAAGAAGGGTACCAAAAGAATCATCGAGTGAAGACAGTAGCGATGAAGAAGAGTCTGCGCCAAAAAAACCGACTCTCAGTAAACAAGCAGCGCCAACAAAGCGAGCAGTTACCAAAGACGAATCTTCGAGCGAAGATAGTAGCGACGAAGAGCCACCTGCTAAGAAATCAATTGCAGCTGTTACAAAAAAGAAATCTTCTTCAAGTGAAGAGAGCAGCGAAGATAAGATTCCCATCAAGAAACCAGCTCTTATTAAGCAGAATACCATTAACAAGGGTTCTATAAAGAAAAAAGAATCGTCAAGTGAAGATTCGGATGACGATTCCGATGATGATTCGGAAGAAAAGAAACCAGCAACAAAAATAATCCCGAAACAATCAGCCGTTAACACCAAAACAGCGAAGAAGCAGGAATCTTCCAGCGAAGATTCAGATGACTCAGAAGACGAAACGCCAACTGCAAAACCTACACCAGCAAAAGCTGCCATCAAAAACAAGTCGTCAAGCGATTCTGATTCAGATTCCAGCGAGGAGAAAGAAGAGGAAACAAAAGTTCAGATGGCAGCCAAAACACAGAAAAGAAAACATTCAAATGAGGATGAGGAAGAAACGCCTGCAAAATTCGCAAAAAATAATTATAACTTCGTGAAAGCTAACAGTAGTTTGAACGAAAGTAACAAGGTATGTTGTTATGTCTACGCAAAATACGATTTAAAGCATTCATTGGTTAAGCAAACTAAATTGAACAAAAAATGATCATAATCTGTATATTCTGGATTCTTGACAAGAATCGTTTGCTTATTGAATATATCGAAATATGCAGATTTATCATAGCATGTTCGATGAAATTGTACATTCTAAGTATTATAATGTATAGAGTACATATTACTTTGTCTATACAGCAATTAAGCATTTTTAAGTAAAAAAATCGCTCTCTTACCCCTTATAATTTTGTACTTAGAAAAAGACAAACGCCACATTTCAACGTGTAAGAAGCGACGAGGTCAAGTTGGATCCCAAATTGGCTAATAATTCCTTCGAAGCAAAGGTAAATGCTCGGAAACCGAGCACAGTCCGAGAGGCACAGGTCACTCGCCCCTTTTACGAAAGCTTGAGACCATGCTCGCGAGACTATGTTTCCGTGCATTCACCAAAGTTTATCGAAATATTACGATTTGTGGCTAATAAGAGCAAAAAAGAAAAGAGAATTGTATTTTATAATGATATATTTTTGCACAATATGGGCGAGATTGACCTGTTCCTCTTTTTTGTTTTAGGACGAGAAAGAAGACGATAATAGTTTTAGGAGATCTGATTCGGAACGAGGTGGATTCAGGGGTGGATTTAGGGGAGGTAGAGGTGGTAGAGGTGGTTTCCGGGGAGGGCGCGATGAGGGAGGTCGCGGTGGTTTTAGAGGCGGACGCGGCGGTTTTAGAGGAGATCGTGGCGGTTTTAGAGGAGAACGTGGCGGTTTTAGAGGCGATCGCGACGGTTTTAGAGGCGATCGCGACGGGGGTGATAAGGGTCGTTGGAGCAACAGTAGCGATAAGGATGGTGCTGGCGACAGGGGGGGCGGACGTTGGAACAACGGTAACGATAAGGATGGTGGTCGCGGCGGTTTTAGAGGAGGTCGTGGCGGTTTTAGAGGCGGCCGCGGCGGCGGTGGTTTTAGAGGCGGTTTCGAGGGTAGGAAGTCTTGGGGTGGAGACGATAAACCGAGGAGATCGTGGGGTGATAACGGAGATGGCGATAGGGGAGGTTTTAAAGGCGACAAAGGCGGTTTCGATAAGAAGAAATCCTTTGATATCAATACGCCTCCTCAGAATAAAAAAATCACTTTTGATGATTAACAATAAATACTATATACGATTGTATATAAAGGTAAGAGACAAATCGCAATTGCATTACTAGATATTAGAAGATATACTTTAATCTGCGAAGAAATTTGGAGTAAATGTATATATTTTAAATGTATGATATTTTTGTTTTCCTTGTTCAACAGAAAGGTGCGCGCGGGTCATGGGGAGAACGAGCTAATGAAGTATTGAAGTATACAAAGGGCAAGGTATTCCGGCATGAAAAACAAAAGAAGAAACGCGGTAGTTATCGCGGCGGGCGTATAGATACACATGTTAATTCCATTAAATTCGAGGATTAAACAATTAATACATCCACATTTCGTAATTCTTTTATTATCTCATATTTATTATTATATCTAGATCCGTAAGACGATAAAAAAAATACTCTGACTATCATATACATTTGTATCGAGGTATCGTTTAAGACAGCTGTTTTGCAAATTTTAGGAAAATTCTGAAATAATGATAAATTTGATTAAACATTCACAACTATTTTATGTATATGTTAAAATATAGATATAAGATATATTCTATACAGATTGTCCTAAAACCTAATATACACAATATATAATTAAATTTAGATTGAACTGATCAATTTAAATTGGCAATATTTACTACAATATGTATTTTATCAGTCCAAGAAAAAGTTTGTCTAGTTATATGTCTTTCTAGCAATTTTTAGTTTTTATTAATACGTCTTTAATGAATTTTCGATTCAAGAAACTTTAAGTAGTTAAGTTTCATTTTACTGTTTTATTACTGTGTGTGCAATCTATACAAAATAAAAAATTTAATATTTTCACAATCGCTGATATTCGTAAAAGATTTTTGTTCATCTCTGTAAATTATTTAAAAATCTAATTTTAATGACAAAAAATTGATTTGCATAAAACTAATAATACCGCGAGAATATATTTTTAAATATATGATAAGATAAATACTAAATTATATAAGCATTTTTTATCAAATGAAGCTTCTTTGTAAATATTTGGCGGCAATAGATTTTTACACAGATTTTAATATTTATTTTCTACACAGTAATGAATCAGAACATAATATTTAATCAGTATTATTTATTCGTCTTTTCATTCATACAAAAAATAAGATAATAACTATTAAAACGCGGATAGATTTATCAGATTTATGGTGTCTTTCTATCCTTTGAAATTTTAGCTTAAAATTTATGAACATAAAATGTAGTTTGCGATTTTACCAGAGATAGGAATCAATAAGTTTCAATATTGTTATTCAATGTGTTTTAATTGTTAGTGAAATTTAAAAAATTCTCTATGCAATAGGACACTATGCTATGATTTTTGTGCTAATTATATATATAATATATAAAATATATAAAAAAAATAATTTTAGCTTTAAGAAAAGAGGAATATCTTGTGTATCTTCTCTATATACGAGCGACATATATAAAAAATGAAGTTAATTTTATTTTTTTCGAGTATAAATATACTGAAGTCTTCATGTTATTTACATGTGCATTTATACTATATAGCTATTATATTATATTATTAGATATTAATATAGTAATGATAAAAATATCAAAGAAATATATTGGATTTTCTCATTATGTCTTGTGTTCTATATGGGATATAAAAAAAATTGCATTAAATTACCTTATCGCAATTTTTAAAATGGATTTAGAAATGGTAAATACATAATATCTAATCAGTTTTTATAAAAAGATCTTCCTCTTTCTCTCTCTTTTACGATTTTTTTCAATATAAAAGATTCTATACAGGATATTATTTAAGAAAACTTGAGAGTTTCTTTCATTTTTTTTTTATATCGGAAGATTTTATCAAATGAGGACTTCTCTCATCGTGTTAAGCGTTAGATATTTGTCTCTCAATGTTCACATTTTTTTTAATATTAAAAAATCAGCAAAATACTTAAATAATATCAATCAGTAAATTTCTCATTAATTGACAATTGATTGTTTAATTTTTTGAAACTTATAGGATTTTTTCCCTCAGTGTTTCTATAATTACGAAAGCAACTTCAATTATTCTATATTGCCCGATCTGCATGACCTCCCTGAGAAAAGGAGTCGCAGCGGAGGCTACCCTCTTTTACACCGGATCATCACCTTCCTCATCAGCAGGCGGAAAAAAGTTTAGAGACAGAATAGGGGCCAGTATCCCTAGCCAGAGAGAAAGAGAGATCCCCTCTTTCGCCCCGGCTCGCTGCTCAAGCACAGAGAGCGGTTACTTACGATTCTACAGTCAACCTCTGGACATCCACCTGTGAGGACGGAGGTGTTCGACCTCACTCGACACTCACATCCGGTGCAGTGACATGAACGGTGCTTGAGAGAAAGACAGAGAAAGAGATAGAACGAGAAACTCGTGTGCTCCAATTTTCATATTTTCTTTCGATATATTTTTTTTACATTTACCCGATATCTCTCGAGGACATTCCGGTCGATTTTAATGTAACGTGGAGGTCGCCGGACGGGCCGAGAAAGGACTTGTAATACAAGCTGAAACAAATGTTCCTCACGGTGAGTAAGATATTAAAATTTTTCTAAAAATTGTCATTCGAATACCATCGATTCTGCGCAATTTATTAAATTTCGTTCGTCTCGAGTTTACAATAGAGAAAAGTGGATCAGGATCTAAGTTTCCGTGTATAGATCGGCGGTCACAAACATCCCTCGCGATTGAAGTTTACGCGAAGTCAGACGTATTGAAACGCTTTAAGAGGATTAAAACGCGGTGCAAGGTTTGAGGCCGGGTGCTTTTAAAATTTATTATCCAAGACATAAAAATGCGTGACGTTTAGCTATGCAGCTGCAGGTTGCGAATTGTTCTCGAGGTATTCGAAATTACAATTCAATCGTGCTTTCCCAAAGAATACTGGTCGAAAATTCTTCTTGTCGATATAATCAGCAACAAGAAAAATTGCAAAATGAAGCTAAATTATATATTTTCTTCTATATTTCACTGATACTGGGTAAAATATTGATTTGCTAGATTAAATCAAGTCTACATTCTTTAATTCTTTTTTTAGACAAGAATTTGCTAATGTTAATTGTTAAAAGTGTATAGTTTAATGTCAAAAATACATTACATCTGATGCAATTTATTTTTCTACTTAACTTTTATAAAAAAAAGTTCTGTAAAATGAACAAGGAAATATGCGACTGCTCATTTGACATAACATCAGCAGCGAGATTAAGAACTAATTTCAATCTCACGCGCGAAACGACAGTTATAATAATTTATTCACGAAATGAATCACCGAAACACGTATACCGTTATCGAGTAAAAGGATAAGTAAACCTAAGTATCCTCGATAAAATCCGACTTACATACAAGAAGAAACGACGTTTTGGACGATTCAACGTTACCGTTAGATTTCTTGAAGCGTATGGACCATCTGTTTCTCAAAGCAGATGAAAGCGTAAATTCATTCCTTAAACTTCTCATTAATTGCAGAAAAAAATAGTTGTAAAATAAATATAAATCAAAGTTATTGGAAATTGATAAAAAAATAGGTATAAATTGAATATTTCTTAACAAATTAATAACAATTAATTGTAATAAATTTTGCGAAGATATCGAAAATATATTTTATTAATTATAATTATATATAAATATATTTTAATAATTATAATTATCATGCCTTACTGTAAAAAAGAGAAATTATACGAAAAATTGTCACAAAGAACTACATACATCAAGTTCTTTCTGACAAAATTACACAAAGAATAAAGGAAAAAAAATTTCAAGCTTCAGCTATTCTATTTTTTTTTTCACAATAATTGTTAAAATTGTTTTATACTTGCAATGCAGAGGATATTTTATAAGTTATTGATTTGCATCAAGATGACATAGAAAAAAAAGATATATAATCTATTTATAAAATACATTTCCGAAAAAAATAAATTCTATAATGTTAAGTCATAAATAGTGACATAAGGAAGGAAAGCAGAAGGCAGCTTTAATTTAATCAGTAATAATATCAGTAATAAATATTCTTATGTCTAGTCGAGAGAGGATTACAGAAGGACGTGAGAAATCTTTGCTTGAAATAATCTCAGCGTCCCCATCCGAAATCGCCGGCAGCGTGAAGCCGGCGGAGATGTTCCGATCGCGGGTTCTCAAGTTCAGATGATTCCCACGTGCACGTCACTCCACTTCCTTTTGATCATTTTACTCAGGCATATTTCGATCAAGTTTTTGTCTTATAAATTGAACATTATTTAATTCAAAAAATCCACAAATATAATTCGTGCAATTGTTGATATTGCCTTAACTGCTTTGAAATATAAGGATTGTATGAAATTTTCGCAAGTTTATCTAACGCGAATGTGTTTGCGCAAGAAAATAGATTATTAATTAATATCGTGAAAGAGAGAATAAACGTGTATAAAAGAGCTTCAATTATTGGATGTTCCAAGAATTACATTAAAGAATGCAATCTTGCAATAGCAAGTATCAATTCATTGACATCCCGACTGATGACCATAACTGAAATTTCTTTCCCATTAACCATGGATTCTTTTGGAATCTCCAACCAGTGTATCGTTAATTCGAACTAGATACGTGAAGCGCGTATATTCGACTCGTCTCACCCGTGATTCTCGTGCGAAAATCCACGGCGGAGCAGGAGACCGTAAAAAGACGCATCGCGGATCCGAGAATCGCGCCGGCCGGCGTGAGAACGCTTTTAATTAACCGCAAGGTCGCAACGGTGGAGTAAGTAACGTTATACAGCGGGACGTATCGGAACGGAAGATGAGAGATCGCGAGATCGAATTAGCTCTCTCTTTCTTTCTCTCTTTTGTACGATCGATCCTTTCCCGACCTGCAAAATGAACCCACGCTCCGGGAAGCGCCGACGAGACTTTGATTAATCGTAACATTAATCGAGCGCTGATCGAGCGCCTTTTTCGCGTCCGCAAAAAGAAACACGGATCGGAGTTTGTTATTTTTGCTCTCAGGACGAGGATAATGTCAAAAGCGATGGAACGGAAAGAGTAATCGGGATCCGGGAGAGGTTCCAGAGTCGTTCCGTATAACGAGAGAGTAATCATCCTCCGATTGTTGCGCGCGGATTCATTCACGTATCGGCAATTATTATCTTTCTTTCGACTTGACTTTAAGCGCGTCAACACATACATCTTAAGCATCTTTTTTGAGCACGCGGTTGTAACGGTCCATCGATCTGCGCGTACCAATTTTCTCTCGATATCGTTAATGGAACTCAATCCGAGGAGTTTGTAAGCTATACGATTACGCGGATATACATGATTGAGGAGAGAGATTGAGGAGAATCAAGGATTTGCCGAGGTAACAGACGAATGCGTGAACGCTCTCGATGGTCACGGCCATTGACCAACCTTGGACGGTATACGCTAATGATTTCCTTGCTCTCTCTCTGTGGCTTGTTATTGAAGTGCGCCCGTCAAATGTCAGTCAATCTCTATGAGAGCCAGAAAATTATTTTCGCGAGATTTTTATCGATTTAGGAATGTTTAATTATAACAACATCGATAGTACGGAAAAAATCTGATAATTCTACTTAATTTTTTATTTAAAATATTATATTTTTATATGTACATAATAAAAATATAATATTATAAATAATATGAAAATATAACATATAATATGAATATAAATATATAGTATATATTATATAAAAATATAATAAATATAATATTGTATAATAAAAGTATACAGTTCTTTCGTTAAGATTTATTAAGTAATCTAGAAAAAAATCAAGTTTTAGAACTATAAAAAACTTTATCGTTTTTTTAAGCTAATAAAAATATGGGAAAGTTTTTAAATTTCTTTGATTTAAATTTTTTTTCACTCAAAGGTCATTATAAAATATTACTTAGAGAGAGATTTTGATTAGAAATTAGAATATTTTCAAGTTAAAAACTGGTCGATCTGAAATTCATAAAAGTATTAGTAGACTTTCATAAAATAGGCCTACTTTCATCATGATATTTTAAAATGTGGTTCAAACATCATTATGATTTTTTTAAGATTTCTAAAAATTCTTTTCTCTAAAGAAGAGCAGATCTGTGAGATTGACGGTTAATGCCTTTAATTCATGTCAGAATTAATTGCGTCTCGCCAGATTCGTATCAACGTTGAAAAGTAATCCTCGCTTATTATTCCGTGTAAGTAACACGGCCACCATAAAAATCGCAATCAAAATGCGCGATCGACAAGCTTCTTTCCGATCGCTTTCACTCGTCGTAATAGCAAGCACATAAGCGCGTCTAACGGATTTCCATGTGGTTCTCCAGCAACCTAGAAACCTCGAACTACATATGGTTCATTATGCAATCGCAATTAATTATTATTCTTAATCCACATTCTCTCGTCTCGTCGTTTATTCTCCTTCTTTATCTTTTCTTCTCCGTCTCTCTCTTTCTTTCTCTCTCTCTCTCTCTCTATCTCTCTCTCCCTCGCAAACCTTGCGATTTTCACGTGCGAAGCGTCGCGAAAGGAAAAAGAATACTGGTCAACGCGATTTTTTTTCACGGTGAACTTCACCTGCGAAACGGAAATCCTTTCGATGCGAATTCCGAGAGGGAAATGATGGCGAGCCCCTCAACCGGTGATTTTCTGATGCGAACCGACAATCATCCGTTACATCAAATTACTTATCGCTAAGCGTACGTGTGGTGTTTGTACCGTAAACAGGATTAATTAGAACGATATATGTATCGCAATAATTGAGAAAATATGATTGACTGCAAACGGGAATCAACTATATCCGCTCCTTCGTAAAGTCCTAGTTTTTTGCCGAAAGTATACGCGAAGATATATAAAATCTTATACAATTCCCTCTCTGAAGAAATCTAATCGCTTCGTAATTACTTTCAAATGACGTCTTAGAAAAATAAGTAAACAATAGATTGGTTAAAATATTTTTAATTTTTATTACCTTTTAAAGAATTTAAAGAAAACCTAAAATAACTTTATACTCTTCTTCCGACAGCTCAACTTTATTAGTTATGCTTATTATATATATAATATATCAATAGCTATTATCATGAGGAGTATAAATGATTTTTCGTATAAGAATATTTATATGTTGATCATATATAAATTTTCTAAGAGTTTCGGAAGAATACCTGTCAAAAGTAATGACTCATTGTTTCACGAAATTGCTTCGATTCGGGAAGCCATTGCGGGAAGAAGTTGTAGAATTTTCTCCCAGGTTGTAAAGTATGCTCACACCTGCGTGTGTCATTTACTTTTGCTCTTGACCTCTTGCGAACTCGGGTTCTAAGATCCCTCGTGCGTTCTTCGCGCGTCACTCTACCTACGTATGCTGACGCAGCATTAGTTCGCATCATCAAAGCTATCAATCTTTATTAACAAAAAGGTAATGCCTTGCCGGTAAGATCTCGCTCGCGGCGCTTCTCTTGGTGCGATCACTTTATTTAATGCAGCCGTTATGTTACGTTTGCGATTTACTGTTCTGCAAGTGAGATATTGGAATATCTATACATGAGATCTAGCAGAGAATATCCACGCTATCACTTTTAAGTGTAATCTAATTGGACAGTACAAGATAATAAATTAATCATCTGTCAGCTTTTGAAACATTATGTTTCAAGCTAAAACTTAGATACACGTATAATTAGTTTTATTATGCACTTAAATTATGGGATAATTATAATTGATGATGATTTTTCTCTCAAATTTTCAAAGTAGGGATAGATACAAAAATTCTTTAAAAATATTACGTCAAAGAATACGTCGTGAAACATACTCAATTATTTGTATGGTTGTTATTTCATTTAAAACTTTTAAAAACAATTTTAAACGTGTGTTTTCTAAAATGTATTTTCTGTTTGATTTCAGATGTCCAGGAGGTATCTCGGTCTGATACTTATTATTACGGCGTTTACGCATGCATACGATGCTAAGAAATGCGAGGGCAATGGCCTGGATCTAAAATATGTTTGGGGCGATGCACTCACCGATCCGAATGACTGTATAGGACCAAATAATATGCAATATCCTTCGTAAGTAACAAGTTTTATCCCTTTAACTAGAGCGAATTTGTAGCAAGTCTAACAAAGAATGTTAAATTTTTGATAATTTACACTTATATATTTAATCAATCTGTCACCAATTGCTATTTATCAGCTGTTATCAACATAATTTCAAATATAAATCAAACTGAAAACTATTACTACTGAAAATACATATTTAACGTTATAAATATTGATCATTTTGTGATTTTTCGAGATCTTGGACTTTATTTTAAGAATCAGGTTATCATATTCTCGAATAGCAATCGATTGGGAGCGTAAGACGAGAGAAAAAGATGTAATGGCTCTCTAGAGAGTGTGCAACGGATGGTATATGTACCGTTCTTGCAGAACCGTGATATCGAGGAGCTTCAAGAATCTCTGGACGGGCAGTAGTCGAACCGCGCGATCGCATCAGCCACGGACGATTGATCCCGAACGGACAAGGCAGACGCTTTTGTATAACTATAAAGTGGCCCGCGGAGACTACTCCATCGCCGGAAACTCCAGGAACGGTGAGCCCGTGTTTAAACGTAACGTGTGTTTCGCGTATCTGAACACGCAGAGTTTCCTGCCGCTTCCAAACTGCGCGAAACATTAATCTTGTTTCATTGACCCCCTATATTATGACACATTTGCGCCCGAGAATTGCGATATTTTTATTTAAATAAACGCCGCTATAGAGAATTATAATCCATTAAAAGTTGCTCGTAAACTCGTTAATCTGTCTCATCTGTTAATCGGTTTACGTTTTAATATTTGAATTGAACGAAAGTATAATTGTATATATTGTAAAATCGATTATGCTTCTCTTATTATTTGTATGTAAACAAATAAATTAGCCAGTTAAAGTATCAGTTCATTAAAATATCAGTTAAATATAAATTATTAGTTTCCACTTTTAATGATATTAAATATTATTGGAGCATGAAAATTGTTATTCACAAAGGCAAAAAGCCTGCAAATTATCGATTATCGCAATGACTTTGATGAATGACTAATCAAAATATAAAGAATAGCACAAATTAATAAAAATAATAATTCTATTTCTTTTTTTAATTTTGAAAAAAGCAATATATGCTATCAATATTTTTAAAACTTTCAAAATTGAAAGTTTAATGAACGCAATTTATAGATAACATTCAAGAATACAAAATTAGGACAATAACAGCACCTGAATTATTATACATGTGTAAACAGAATTTAGATAAGTAAATATTACATCTTTTACAATTTTATCGAAAACATTGTGTTCAAATCAAAACAGATAAATTTTCAATTGAGATAGGATCTTGAGATTCTATCGCGAAACTTTCTCAATCAGATGCAGAATCGCCGCGAATGCAAATTATTCGGGAGACGCGCGCGTATACCTGCTTGCAATATCTGCGTAAAACAACACAATTCTCACGGCAGGTCTCGAAAAAGTTCACGATGTTTGACGTTTGAGGCCTTCATGAAAATTAGAACGGCCAGTCGTGTAGAGGTAGGTATCACCGGCATGTATGACCGTTTACGATCGTGGTGCCCTGCAGCCTTGAGTTATGCAGCTGTCCTTATGACACGAAAACCCGCTTCCAATCGCTTCGTATTCCCCGACCGATCGTCGTCGGGGTTTCTGCAAAATTTGCACAGCCAAAGAGACGATCCGCGATTAGTTTTCCGATCCAAGGTATCCAGGATAGCTTATCCTCTCGATAATTGAGTCGGAGTTGGTGGTGCACCGACTCCGGGACCGGGTAATAAGGCACCGTGTTATCCGGCCAATACAGTTATCGTTGTGTTCATAACGGGACCCGCCGACGACTTACTCGTCGTTTCGAGCATACATTCCTCGGGATATATCCCCGACCAAGACCGCTGATTCCGAGAGCGAATCTCGCTCCAACGTCAATTGTTAATCGACAATAACTCGGAAATGTTAATCATTCGATTATTCATTGTCGCAAAAAAAATTAATATAATATTGTCATGTAATCAACCATTACAAATTTATATATTTATATATTTTAATATTTAAAAATTAAAAATATATATGCGCGTGTCATACAGAAAAAAATCTTTTTGATTTTCTCTATAAAAATTTTATAAAGAAAAGTTATATTAATGAGAAGCAAATTTTTTTACTCTTTGTAATTTCATCTTTGTTTTCCCGAAACAATAGCGAATTTAAACTTGAACAATAATAATTTTCGCACATTATGGAAACAAATTGGCAACTAAGGCTTCTGAGTATTCGTCGCGAAACACTCTGAGTTGACGGTTGCGACATAAAAATAAAAACGCGGTAAGAATCAGATTTATCATATAAGTGAAGTAATTTAGTAAAGCAGTCAATTAGTGAAACTAAATGAATATTGTCAAGCATTAAGTGTGAAACACACACAGAGAAAAAGCACACATGTATGACCTCAGAATTTATTATTAGATTAGAGTTTAGACAAATAAGGACAGCCACACACAAATAGATTGTTTAATATTCTTTCTCTTTCGAGATATTTACCTGGAGCGATTAAAATACATACATACATATATAAATACATATATTTAAAAAATGATTATTTTGTTTAAAAAAATACACATTTATATATAAGTTATACATAGGTTAAAATCACCTAACACAATTCAACGCACATGCAATTGATCTATTTGATACTTACTTTTAATCCTTTTTTGAGAAATTTGTGACATAAATTTCAAGTTAACTTGCAATTGCAAATGTTACACGTTAAATTTTGCTACACAATGACATACAATCAGTTCTGTATTTATAAAACAGTCGAATAATTATATAAAATTGCATATATTAAAAAAAATAATTTTAAAACATTTTGAAACAACTAATTGCTTTTATATCAATAAACTATCTGCAAATAATGCATTTTTTATGTTTGTGCAATTAATAATATATTGTATAACACGTAATATATTGTATAACACGTTAAAAATTCCTGCTTGCTTGCATTTCATTATTATTCATTTTATACTAGTGCTATGATGTATAACATGTTTATAAAACCCATAAGATGTTCCAAAAACTAATTTAGTAAGAAATATATTGTGTAAAAAAACATTTTCCACGCTTTTCAACAGTTATCAAATCATGTGTTTTCTCGCTTACTTTGATACTCATTTTAAAGCTATTTATTAACTGTTAAGAGAAAAACTTAGTTTTCGGAATATTTTACAAGTTTTCTAAAAAAAACGATCTGTACTGTTATTTTTTTTAAATATTTTTTTTATTTGAAAATGACATGTAAGAAATTTCAACGTGTCATTTCTCGCTTCTGATGTCACGATTTCAATACGGCTGCGGTGACTACTCAGGAGACGAGAGCCTTATTAGATTATTAGAAAGATACTTTTTAAATCATAATTCCATGGGGATTTGCACATCCAATCCCGTACTATTACGGGACCATCTCAATATGCAATATGCCGTATTAACGTTCTAGTGCTGTCAATAAACCACAATAACGTTATACACCAAGCATATTTGCTTATAAAGTATAGCATGTAAGGAATATGATAAGCAGCGTCAAGTATCATAATGTATGTTATATTATAATCGCGCATTATACGAGGCAAAAAAGTTATATAGCGAAGTAATCGTCACTGGGTTTTCAGGCCGTGCGGTTTCCGCGAAGGAAAGTTGCGGTTCACCCGCCAGACTCTGCAAAACGAGGTACAACACCACGGCGCCTATGTACGGTATCAGCCTTACTAGTGGACAACCGGTAACGATCGTTCAGAAATTTCCTGATCTTCTCCAACAGGTTGTCTTTGAAGTTTGCGAGTGAGTATATATAACCGATTGTGAGATTTTTTGAGACTGGACTTTTGTAATCAATGTCTATTGTTTTATTCTGAAATTAGTCTAAAACAGATATTTCATAATTTATTTAAATTTCTGAGCAGACAGCTCACTTTATGACAAGTTTTTTCATTTTTTCAAAAGGGGTATTTTCGTAGATTTGCCTGGAAATTTTGACAAGGCAAAAATTGAAAATCGCGAATTTATTTGTAAAACATCCGACTATTTTGAGACACTCTATATAGGCGCCTTGTTAGGTATACATCACGTTTTCTGCAATTAATTTATGTAGATGAGATTCATTTGTGGTCGATATTTATCGACGCGATATATTGTACGAAATTTTAAACAGTGATTTATAAGAAAGCAGCGGGACATCGGACCAGATTGAAATTCACCTGGGCCGTCTGCTCGCTGAATTAATTCGAATGTGGCACAGTAGGCTGAACTGGTTTACGACTGTGTGTTCGTGATCGACATACGCCTACTTTTAAAGCCTTTTTTACGCGAAATTTCTTCCGAGAGTTGATTCAAATGTAGCTATACTAGTATAAAACATGTAAGATATATATTGAATCAATAATGCAATTAAAGACCCATTCACAATTTTTAACAGAATACAACAAATATTTCGGACTCTTTATCGTCCATTGAAATACACACATTTAAAGAGGAATAATGATATATATTAAATATGAGAAAAAATAATTTGAAAAGATCTCCCTTTTTCGTTCGATAATAAAATTTATTATATACAAAGTTACGTCAGCGATGCTTATGTATTCGAGTGGAATCATAGCTCGAGTAAACGTAACTCTAAACACAGCTCCTCCGGTCCGGTGAATGAACCCAGAATCTTTCATCGGTCGTTGTTTCAGATCGAAGGAATGCGACGTGGTTCACGGTGAGTGCACGCAGACCTATGTGCCGTACCTGTTTCTGGTGATTCCTCTGGGTCCAGTGACCTTGACCGGCCAGGATTACGTGCTGGTAGAGAGTGGTTGCGTTTGTAAGCCGAGGAATACGGCGAGCTCGTCCACCGATACGCTACCGGCTGTACCGAGCTTTTAATCTTCGTCAAACGTCACAAGTGTCACAAGCATCTCGGACTGTCTCTCCGCCGAAACGAGGGGATTCCTTGTAAACAACTCGCGTAACCCATTCTTATCAGAATGGTATAGAGCGATTTCGAGCGCCAAGATCCTCGAATAGCTCGGCAATCTCATCGATGCTCATGCGACGCTAGATTTATTTCTCGAGGGAAATCTGATAAATGTGTTCGCTGCACGAAATTAATTCCGTCTCGGACCAAATAAATCTGTCTCCTTTTTCTACGAAAAGACGCCGCTCTTCGTGGCTATAAAGTGATCTATTTCGTTTGATCGATTATAATGGATTTTGTATTATAATATTTCTCTTTCTAAATTTCTACAAGCTGTTTTTTCAGTATATTATATTATATTTTTTCAATCTTAAAGATTAGTAGAAATGCATAATTTCAGAAATGGAAGTCAAATGTTTCATACGGATTCAAAACGAAATTATGAAATAAAAAGTCTGGCTAATAATGAATTTATTATAGAACGAAATTAATACAATGAAGATTTCTTGAAAGAAGTAGTTCTAGTGAATGAACTCTTCGTCATAGTGTCTCTGTATTGTATTTGTGACATTGCATTTCACGCACAATTCATGAGACCTGGACGAACTACTTACAATGTGTGACAAGATAATCTATCATCTGACAATGGCAAACTATGGAAAATAAGACTGCCGCAGTTGATGGATTTCATCGATGATAAATTTCTACGAATTTATATAACATTTTTTCAAGACTTTCGAGTACTTTTCTGGGCTAATTCGACGAATATGTCGAATTCAGTCTATTCGTTAAATACTCGAACCGTATTTATTCTTCACATATGTTATTTTTCTTAAATTATTACATGTATTTTATATGTTTGCCTTACCTTTTTATGTAAATATTTTCTTGCTATAAAAATATAAAATAGAGCGACGAATAATATCGTAAAAAAATGTTATATTAGATGTTTCATATATGTTTAAAATAGATAAAATTATCATTAATATTTTTAATTATTAATGTTTTTTATATAAATTAAATAAATATATAAATTAAATCTCTTTTGGAACAATTTTAAAGAAATTTTCTGAAAAAAAAGTATTTAATTTGAAATTAAATGTATGAATTTGTTTATATAAAGAAGAGATAAACCTCTTGCTCATTCAAATTAAGTATTCCAAAGCAAGGATAGAATCTATAACTTGCATATCCACTTTAGGTTTCACATTTAAAATAAATCTCACAGATGATAAAAAATATCCTACTCTTGCTACTCGCTCGACTGTGATAATCTATCGATACTCCGACAGAAAACACAACAATACATATTCTATCTGTACAATATCGATTCATAGTACAAAACCTTCCTGTCCACTAGAAGTGCAAATACGGTTTGAGCCACCATCCTCCCTGCTCTCGTCCTCTTCTCTTTCTCATGCCAAAAACCTTGGGAGGACATTTATTTCGCCGGCAAATGAAAAAGTAAATCGGGACAGTGGACGACCGCGTGGAGTTTCGCGGAATCCGGTCTCGGAATTCGATCGAGTTCAGACTCACCGCCTCCCCGAGCCGGTTTCGAGCAGGTGCAAATAGCACGTTTAAGAACTTGGGTATTCGTCTGGTGATAGGAGGTGTGTCATCCACGGCTCCCTTAAGTGCTATTAAAGTCGTCATAAAGTTATATCACGCGTGCTATTATATCGCAATAAGATGAACGCGTTTTGTAGGATCGCTCGAGGATAGCGTATCTCACTTGTAGGATCGTCTCGTTTGACCAGATTTTTCGTGCCGTTCGAGGATGAAACCCGGACGCAACTTGCTATAAGTCGCACGAAAAAAAGCGGCATAACAGCGGCGAGACCTAATTCTCGTGAAGCACGTGATGCTCCCTCGACGATGATTTAATCCGGAATCTAATAAAAGTCGTAATATATCGTTCGTCGACGTTAAGTACCTTTTCATCAAAATTACGTATGCAAATTTGTTTAACGCCAAGGATAACTTATTATTCATCTATCTTGTAATTTTCGACGATAAAAAAAGTCGCTAATTCAAGCCTGTATTAAATTATCACTATAATTAAAACATGTGCAAATCTAATCAAATCGAACACAAGTGTTTTCTGCGGCAGTAGCAAGCAGTAACATCGATAAGTGCTATCCAGAGTGTGTCATTATGACCGCCAACACGATATCGACTCCAGCCTGCTGACCTAGAGAGAGAGAGAGAGAGAAAGAAAGAGAAAGAGAGAGAGAGAGAAAGAGAAAGAGAGAGGGTCAAGATCATCACGCACGGGGGTAAAAGCGGGTGCACTACTTCCTGTTTATAGCTTGTATCGACGACTCGAGCCTCCCCCTAAGACGCGATAGACAGCGCATTGCCCTTCTTGCGCTCGCTTCTGGACGAAACCGGACTTCGTAACAAAACCTACGTACGTATATCGGGAATAGAGAGAGCGTACTGTTGAATTCCGATGAGTCCGTAATGTACCGTTACCCGTTGCTTCGCGGGTCCCCTCGGCCGAGCATCTCGCTTTCTCGTCGTGAGGACGACGAGATGCGCGCAGCAGCCGGTGTCGTCCTCACGACGATGAGCGAGCATCGTGACGATTGCGATTCTACGAGACCTCCTGACCTCCCTAGACACGAATCTAAAAATGCTATTTAAAAAATATCGATGCTACAGCATCCAAGTGCGAAGAGTAATATTTTGATTTAAGACCGCGTTATCGAGCGCATCAAATTCAACTATCGACAATCGATCGGTTAAGAAAAGAGAAGAAATTTTGACAATTTTGAGATGCGCGCGATATATCTAGACGGATACGCTTTCTCATTTTTTCACATTTTGTATTTACAGTTGTTTTAACAGGCATTCGTGTATTTATAATTTATTATTAGGTTATTATACATTATAAATCTTGCGTGTATATAAACCTTTTCCCTTTCTCTCCTTTCATACTTTATTTATGATTCTTACGTGTTTCCTAACTTGTACGAGGGGACCCCTGAAATGTTTCACAGAATTAAATTTATCGATCTTTTAGAAATTGATTTTTCTTTGACTTTAATTGAAAAATCATTGAGGTAATTAATTCTCTCCGTGTCAGAGTAAAAAAAAATTTCAGGAGGCATCGAGTTCAAGAATATTTTAAAGCAGCGCGATGATTTCATCGCGTAATTCATTAGTGGATTATATTTTACATAAATCACGTCAGTGTTCTTTTCCTTTCACGTTCCCAATTATTACGCATTCCTCATAATATATTTGCCCGTCTTGCGGAATAGTCGGCACTAGTATGACGTGCTATGTCATCATGTATGATTTATGACAGGTGAAACAAGTACACACAAGCATGCCGCCAACGATCGAGATTCCTGGCGACGCAGGAAGACGTTTCGCGCGCTTTAGCCTGCTCTAGCATTCTCTATTTTTAGTGCATAACGGTAAACCGGAAGAGTTGCATACGTACACAAATAGGGTAACGAGCAAGTTTAGTTGCTTTCTTTAAACGAATGCAAACGAATTGCATTTGCGAATTCTAAATACAGATCCGTGAAATAAAAAAAATCATGTTAGTATATCCGCTAAAAATGCAAAGCAATTAAAATATATATTTCTATTGTTTATTCTAATAATAATGAACATCAGCATGATTTTTTTGTTAGATTTTTTATATTAATTCTAATAAAAATTAATCGCGCGACTCGTAAAAAACTATATTAATATTTTTTAAAAGTGTTAATGTTCTTTTATTGTAATTTGAATATATAAGCTTGTGCACATCATTACGTATTATATTGTATGTTTATGCGTATTTTTGATTTTAATACAAATTAATCGATATAAACAGAAGTGTAGGTAAATGTTCATTTTTGGTAATTAAGCTCAAAAGATAACTAACGATATAATCGATTATCAATAATGAAGTGACTGTAAGTCTAACTGTCGATAATGTCATATGATGTTGAATTAACTGTCGATAATATTGCTATTTTCATATATGAAATATCTTATTCTTGAATCCTGTAAATATAAAAATAATTAAAAAAAAGATTTTACATTATAATTACATAAAAATTCGAATATAAAACATTTCGTTGATACGTAAAATCATAAAATAGTAATTTCTTTCTTTTTCTTTCACACTTTAAAAATAGATAGATAGATAGATAGATAGATAGATAGAGAAGGAGAGAGAGAGAGAGTGCACAAAATTTATTTATAATAGAAATATATTTAATACACATAAACGTCTTATATATTTAATACATATAATTAACAAATAATAATAAAATTACATATTTTTTTACGTATCTTATCCAGTTCGACATTTTCCTAGATTTGTTTTCACTGCCTTTATATAATAGAGTATCAATTCTATGTAGTTTCATGTTCCGTGGTTAGTACACGTCAATTCATCGGTGTTGGTCGGTGTACAAATGAAACCAGATGATTGCGGATGATACAATTGTGCAAAAATTTTTCTTAAACGTTATTGACAAGTATTACAATTAAAATCTCATCTATACAGACACTATGGAAACGTTGTATCATCAAACTAATAAATTGATACAAGAAACACAACATCTCTTTTCGCAACTGGAGAGAAAATCATCTAATATAGATCTGCAGGAAGTAAAGGAGACTATAGAAAGCAAGCTCAATCTTATCAACAGGTAGCTAAAATTCCAAACGGCGTTTCATCGGCGTTTTCTTATATAATATTGTTCCCCTCTTCCTCCCGAACAATTAAATTTACATTTATTTTTCCCTTAGCAATTGCGAGCGACTCGATGTGTTATGTCTCAAAGGACCTGTGTCGCAGAGGCAGAATGCCAGAATGAGAGTCGATCAGTTGAAGTATGACAGCCGTCACCTTGCCGCTGCCTTAAATTCATTATGCACCCGTATGATACAGAGACAAAGAGAAGAAGCAGAGAGAGAAGCTTTGCTAGCTAAAAAATTCACTAGCAATGATCATGTGGATATTTTAATTGATCATACTGTACAACATAATAACAGCATGCACAATGCCATTCATGGCGTAGACGATCTGTTACAGCAGGGAAGCAGTGTCTTGGATAATTTAAGATCTCAGAGAATAACATTAAAAGGAGCTCACAAACGTTTGATAGATATTGGTAATACTTTAGGTCTTTCCAATACTACTATGAGACTCATAGAACAAAGAACCAAACAAGATGGATTTATTTTAATTGCTGGTATGACTTTCACGTGTGTAGTTATTATTTTAGTAGTAGTATACCTTACTTAAATACACATTCCAAAAATTATTCAATATATTTGCAATTGTTAATAATAATATTTATATTTGGTTCCTTCTGTTATGCTTAATTATTACTGTCATTTAAAAAATACATAAGTTAAGAATTATATAAAAAATTATAGTATTATGTTTCATAAATAATAGTATACACTAAATTAACATGATTTAAATTAATATGATACAAAATGTTATTTATTTTATACATTTTATGCTAAGAAATTTATAACACATATTTAATTGAAAACAGATTTTTATTAATATTTCATTAAATAATAATATATTTTTTTAAATATTAATCAATTTCTTTCATTAATATTTTCTTAAATATTAGTAAAGCTGTATGCATATTTTTAATGAAACGTGGAAATTCTAGGATTATTGTATGTATAATAATCATAATATAAATTCACCTGAAAAAAAAATCAATTGTATATAAAAGACATTTAATTTTATTATATTTAATATTATTTGTATCTATTTTTCTGATATATATCACAAATAAATATTTTTAAACATTGAATTATATGTAGTAATTTTTTTCACATATAAATGCACATACGTAACAGAGAGAAAACTGAGAGATGTCATGGCCTGCTTTTAGGTGATTCCTGAAAGCGATACTCCCTCTATGAACATTGAAAATGTGGACATGAACTACAAAGCCAATGTCCATGAATGTTCTCAGAGGGTATCATGTGCACAATTTCTGGTTTCGTTCCGTGCTATGTGCACGAAATGCCGGTAGCATCAGAGTATAACAAGACACTCATGTATATAAATTGATAGTAAATAAATTATGCAATCGTGAAAGATACTGTAATCTTCCAATGTAATGTTCAAAAATGAAATAAATATTTTTCTATATTCATTGCCATGTTTATATATTTTTATTTACAAAACACAAAATGTCTGCTGTGGAATAAAAACATTTTTAACCGTTATTTCTATAAATCTTAATTAGCAATAAACTGATCTTTGATATTTATTAATCACTTTTTTAATTATTTAAAAAAATTATTATATTATTAATTATTTACTTATTTATTTATTACTTATTTAATTATTAATATATGTATAGAATTTGTCAAATTAATCGCTGATTGTTCTAAAGTTTTTATAATTAAGATTCGAAAAATATAGTTGCAAAATATTTTAAGTATTTCTTCCTTTATATAAAATATAAAGAATTCATATGTTCCATTCTAATATAGTCAACATTATTTATATACTATTATTATAATTTTCTTACCAGCTCTCTTAATATTTTTATGCTTAATATTTTATATAATATAATGTACTAAATTATAAAATTTAATATAATTACAAAATAGTATTACTATTAATAAATAGAGTATATTCATATTGTCTTTTAATTTCTAATCATTTCCAATCATTATGCATTTCTATTATCTATTTCTATTATCTATTATTTTCTTCTTCGAGTTCTTGGATTATTATGGTTTATTGTATATAGTTAGTTGTATATTGTATATTGTTATCCTTAGTGTTAAAATCATAGGGATTATCATCATTTGTCATGCTTATTCCTTCCTATGGAATCCATCGAAATATTTTCTATGGACATTTGTTCTCTCGAGTATAGATATTCAAATCACTCAGAGAGAGAGAAAGAGAGAAAGAGGAGGAAAAAGGGTTTGAGAAATTCAAATTACTGTAGTTGTCTTTTTTCTATTTTCTCCATTACTGTCTCTTTTTCTTTCATTTTATTCAAAAATATTAATATAAATAAAAATAATATATATATAATTATATATAATTATATATAATTATATATATTAAATATATAATTTTTATATCTTTCTTAGTCTGACTCTTTCTCTTCGACTTGTCCAATCGAATATTCCGATTATTGTCGCTTTATTTATTTGTCGCGTTTTCTCGCGAATTTTAAATCACAATTCATTTAGTAATTTAATTGTTGATTTCGAAGTTTATTCTATTCATTTTGAATATTTCCTTTGATAATTTACACAAAATGCGCCAGTAATCCAAATACTTTCTTTTATAGTCGAAGAAACGATCAATAATTTTATTAATGATTCTTTTCCTTCTTTCACGATTATTTATGTTATATAAAACTTATTAAATTCTATTGTTGCATATCTATTATTAATAATAAATGTCACGTAATTATCGATAACGCGGCGTTCGACTTTGGCAATATAAAATATAAACAGTAGCGCGCATTATTTATTAAACAATTTATCACGGATCTTTTCGTTATGTTAATTATTAGCATCTATAATTCAATTGTTTTATTTCGTGTTCTCTCACAATCCAAATTATATTTAGATTGTCAAGAATGATAAAGTAATACGGACGAAATATATTTGTGACTCTAAGTATTAAAATAATAATTATTGTCCATGAAGATCGCAATCATCAAAGTGATTATTTAATAATATCTTGGATTCCTATCATTAATCGATTCTCGATTAAATTATAGGATTATATGATTACAATATAATAATTATTTTAATACTTAGAGTCACAAATATATTCCATCCATGTCACTTTATCGTTCTTGACAATCTAAATATAATTTGGATAGTGAGAAAACACAAAGTAAAACAATCGAATTATAGATGCAAATAATTAACATAACGAAAAGATTCGTGATAAATTGTTTAATATATAATCAATTTTAATCATTAAATTAAAATACTTCATTAACTTAATATTCTGCGTTAATGTATATTTTACAATTTATAAAATATTTCAACAAATTATCGATAACACGGCGTTCGACTTTGGCAATATAAAATATAAACAGAAGCGCGCTATACGTTACCGCTTTGTCATCATTCGCACGGTGGCTACCGAGTAATAAAGTAGTGGTAAGAAACGCTTCGTATACTGTTATTTTTTTTCTAAACACGATTACGATAAATATTAAAACATAATTTGCTATAAATATTAACAAAAATTAATTAATTAAAAATTAATTAACGACATGAAACTGTATCACAACGATAAATCCTTATCGAATCGTAATCATTCACTACCCCGATTAAAAATTAAAACAGGGGATAAATAAAAGGGGATAAGAGAATTAAATATAATCTTGCGATCATTGATACTTATTATTTTTTTAACAATATTAGAATTAAATATATTTCGATCAATGCTTTAAATTTTCTCCTTGTTAATTAAACAATATACAATTTAATCGAGAATCGATTAAATGATAGGAATCCAAGATATTAAATAATCACTTTGATAATTGCGATTTTTACGGACAATAATTATTATTTTAATATTTAGAATCACAAATATATTTCGTCCGTGTTACTTTATCGTTCTACTTGATAATCTAAATATAATTTAGGATATGAGAGAACGCGAAGTAAAACAATCGAATTATAGATACAAATAATTAGCATAACGAAAGGCTCCGTGATAAATTGTTTAATAAATAATCAATTTTAATCAATAAATTAAAATACTTCATTAACTTAAGATTCTGAGTTAATGTATATTTTACAATTTATAAAATATTTCAGCAAATTATCGATAAAACGGCGTTCGACTTTGGCAATATAAAATATAAACAGTAGCGCTTTATACGTTACTGCTTTGTTATCAGTTGCACGGTGACTCTAGAGTAATAAAGTAGTGGTGAGAAACGCTTCGTATATTATAATTTTTCTTGTTAAACACGATTATGATTAGTCTTGAAACATAATTTGCTATGAATATTAATAAATGTTAACGATCATCAAAACTTATTACAATATTTCTTTATAATATTAGAATATAATATTAGAATTAAATATATTTCGACCAATGCTTTAAATTTTCCCAATCATTGTTAATTAAATACACAATTTAATCGAAAATTGATTAAATTATAGGGATCTGAAATATAAAATAATCACTTTGATAATTGCGATTTTTACGGACAATAATTATTATTTTAATATTTAGAATCACAAATATATTTCGTCCGTGTTACTTTATCGCTCTACTTGATAATCTAAATATAATATAGGATGTGAGAGAACGCGAAGTAAAACAATCGAATTATAGATACAAATAATTAGTATAACGAAAGGCTCCGTGATAAATTGTTTAATAAATAATCAATTTTAGTCAGTAAATTAAAATATTTTATTAACTTAATATTCTGCGTTAATGTATATTTTACAATTTATAAAATATTTCAGCTAATTATCGATAACATGACGTTCGACTTTAACAATATAACATATAAACAATAGGGCGCTATACGTTACCGCTTTGTTATCATTCGCACAGTGACTCTCGAGCAATAAAGTTGTGGTGAGAAACGCTTCGTATATTATAATTTTTTTTGTTAAACGCGATTATGATTAGTGTTGAAACATAATTTGCTATGAATATTAATAAATGTTAATTAATTAAAAATTAATTAACGACATGAAACTGTATTGCAACGATAAATCTTTATCGTATCGCAATCATTCATTACTGAGAACAAAAATTGAAACAGGTTATACATAAAAGAGGATAAGAGATTATGTTGCGATATTTCGATCATCGAAACTTATTACAATATTTCTATATAATATTAGAATATAATATTAGAATCAAATATATTTCGACCAATGCTTTAAATTTTCTCAATCATTGTTAATTAAATACACAATTTAATCGAAAATTGATTAAATTATAGGGATCTGAAATATAAAATAATCACTTTGATAATTGCCATTTTTACGGACAATAATTATTATTTTAATATTTAGAATCACAAATATATTTCGTCCGTGTTACTTTATCGTTCTACTTGATAATCTAAATATAATTTAGGATATGAGAGAACGCGAAGTAAAACAATCGAATTATAGATACAAATAATTAGCATAACGAAAGACTCCGTGATAAATTGTTTAATAAATAATCAATTTTAATCAATAAATTAAAATACTTCATTAACTTAAGATTCTGCGTTAATGTATATTTTACAATTTATAAAATGTTTCAGCAAATTATCGATAATACGGCGTTCGAT